TTTCTGTAGTTGCATATGTCAGAGTCTTGTCTGATTTTGAAGTATACATTGAGAACAATTTGTCTGAGAAGAGCCTTTAAGCCTTCAATTTTGCAGCCCAAAAGCTCTTAAGGCTGGCTGTACCAATACTTATTAATACTAAGCCTCAATTTCCTCAGGCTCAAATAAGAGATCCAATCCTCCCCATCACATCATAGACCTTTTTTTAAGCTCACTTTACCTTATGGGTCTCTCTTTTCATGTCTAGGGCAAGGGTTCTTAACCTGAGTTCCATAGATACCCATAGATTTTAGGGGATCCATGAACTTAGAACTTCTAATATTTTGGTAACTATAATTCAATATAATTGTTTTCCTTTGTAATCCTATGTATTTTATTTTATGCCCTTGAAAACATTATTCTAGAAAGGGTCCATCCACAGGTTTCACCAAACTGCTAAAGGAGTCCATGACACAAAAACTGTTAAGGACCTCTGGTCTATGAGATATAAACAGTATGGGATTCTTTTGTTGGGTCTGGCTCCTGTTCCCTCCCTTCTCCCCCAAAATGTCTTACATTCCGTTAAAGGAATGGAATTCCCCATTTTTCCCCCTCACAAATCACTATTCAATAACCAAGCCAGTTCAGGTTACTGGTCATTCAAGTGTTTTTATAACAAATTTAAATAACAGAACTAGCAAAAATAACCAATTAGGAATCAATTCATCTAAAAGCTGGCTACATGGTGCTGTAACTTAAAGTGAAAAAAAACTTGGCCTCATCTCTTCTTTCAGTCCAATTATTCCACCAACTGATGTGGGTAGAAGTGATAGAGATGAGTTCAGACTGGTGAACAGCAGGTGGCTTTTCTGGTTAGAATCGGAAGGGGGAAAAGGTGTTAGTGACCAGTTATGTCCATCTCCCCAGCCCCTCCATGATCTGATAACACTACTTAAACCTAATCTCATCTTGACTGCACCTTTCTCCAATCTTGTGCTTCAGACTCTCTGCCATCCATGAGTGTTGGGCAGTGGCCATTGGCTATAACTCAGCTCTCTGCTCCTACAGTCTAGGATGCAGTCCTAGCCTGGTATGTATCCAGATCCCCAGTCTCTCCAAAATGGTTGTTCTTCTTCTTGGAAATATCTGCTTCAAACACATGAGAACATGTAGAACTGAGTAAATGTCTGCCTGACTGTAGGCAACTATTTTGAGTGCCTCAAATTTCCACCATAATGTTTCTGGAATAAGGCAAGCCTAGAGTTACAGAAGACAAAAGATTGCTAGCTGTTCTGCTAATACCAAAGATAAATAAGAAGATAGTAAGAAAGAACTCTGGAAGACCAGGTTACTAGGCCTACAAGTACAGCATGGCATGGTGGATAGAATGTTGCATTCAGAGTCAGAAGACTCACTGACTGATTTAGATTCAAATCCCGCTTCTGATTATTCTGGAAAAAATATAGCAGATGACTATACATACATATTTCAGGTGAGTTTTTTTGGAGGAGAAGAAGAGGAGTTATGGGGCGATTAGTGATAGCAGTACCCCCAAAAAAAGAAAAGAAAGAAAGTAGCAATAATGAAATGTTAAAAAAAAAATACAGAGGAAAGCAGAAGCGTCCAGAATAATCCCACTGGGACCAGAAGCAAGTCACTAAATCTCTCTAAGCATCAATTTCCTCATCTGTAAAACAACAGCACCTAGCTTACTGGGTTTTAAGGATCAAGTGAGATAAACTTTTATAAATCTTAAAGGACTATGCTAATGTTGGATATTATTATTATTACTATTGTCATTATCATTGTTAAGCAGATGAACTACATTTTAGGATACTGGAATACTGGATACTACATTTTAGGACTGGGAGATGTAATTGCTGAGTCACTGATTTCTCAATGATTTGTAGAGAATAGGAGAGGTAATAGAGTACTGAAGGAAGTCAAATTCCTAATTTCAAAAAGGAAAGATGATGCAGTCTGCAAATTGTAGGGCAGTGAACTTCATTTAAATCTACTGCAAAATTCTGGAACTATTAAAGGGATGGTTAATATCTAGAAAAGACAGTGAAAATCACAAAGAGCCAGCATGTCTTCATCAAAAGTAGGTCATTCCAAACTAATCTTATTTCCTTTTTTTTTTTTGCTAGAGTTATTAGATTGGTAGATCAGAGGAATCCTCTAGACATAGGTGACAAATTTTAGTGTCTCATTCTGTTCTTGTAGGAAGTATAGAAAGGTATGACCTGGACAATGGCTAAATGGCTGAATACAAAAATTTAAGTTTAGCATGGAGAAAGTTCTCCAATTGGGGGGGGGGAGTGTCCCAGGTATTTGTATTCCTATACTACTTACATTTTCCTTTCAGTGATCTGAATAAAGACATAAAAAGCTTATTTATTAAATTTGCAAATGATACAAAGCTAGGAAGGATGGCTAATGTATTGAATAATAGGATTTTAAAAGATATTCACTGGTTAGAACGATGAGCTGAAGCAAGTAAGATCAAATGAAATAGGAATAAATATAAAGTCTTACACTTGATTTCAAAAAATTGACTTCATATGTTCAAGGAAGGAGTGTGAAAGTACAGTTTAACAGTTCATCTGAAAAAGACCTAGTGGGTATATGATTTAACACTGCTAGAGTAATGTATACATTAAAAGGCACAGTGTCCGGAACCAAGAAGATAAAAATTCCTCCCTGACCAGATCACATCTATGGTATTATGTTCTGGAAACCATATTTTAAGGACATTGGTAAGTTGGAGAGTATCCAGAGGAGGGCAACTGAGATGATGAAGGCCCTTGAGTTCATGTCATATGTAAAACAGTTAAAGGAACTGGGGATGCTTAGCCTGGAAAAGAGAAGGGTGGGTGGTGCATGTCCATGATAATTATATTCAAATATCTGGACTGTCACATGGAAAAGGAAGAAAAGCTTGTTCTGGTTGGCTCTAGGAAAAAAAAAGTGAAAGTTGCAAAAAGACTGGTTTAGGCTTAATTTGAGGAATATCTTTCTAACCACCAGAGCTATTCACAAATGGAATAGGCTTCCTCAGCTAGCAGTGTCCTCCTTACCGGAGGACTTCAAGCAAAAGGCGGATGACCACTTTGGAAATGTAGGTTGTAGAGGGAATTTGTTTTCTGGAATGTGTAGGCTTATAGTGTCTTCCTATGTTCAAATCTATCCTCAGATACTTATTACCTGTGTGACCTTGGGCAAGTCACTTAACCTGGTTTGCCTCAGTTTCCTCATCTGTAAAATGAGCTCGAGAAGGAAATGGCAAAACACTCCAGTATCTGTTAAGAAAACCTCAAATGGGATCCTAAAGAGTCAGACACAATGGACTGAACAAATAGGATTGGGCTACAGGCAGTGAGAGTAGTTTGCAGCAGCTTTGATTGGATTAACTTGAATTTGAATTAAGTGGATGGTGGGTAAGGTTCCTGCATGAGGAAATTCCCTCAACCAATGCAGACTGGCACCTTTTCTGCAAGGAACAATGGTAGCTGGGTGGCGCAGTGTGTATCACATTGGTCCTGGAGTCAGGAAAACCTGAATTCAAATTCAGCCTCAGATACTTGCTAGAAATGGAACTGGAACTAACTGGAAGTAGTTCTAGTTCCAGTTGGGAAATGCTATTTCCTCCTCTTCATTCTGTCCAAAGGAATATAAATTTTGATCACATACTTCACAAGGTATCTTGGGGTCTGAGCGCTAAATTTTTTTTCTTCCCTACTTATTTATTCTATCATTGGTTTTTTTTGGGGTGGGGTTTCCCCCAGAAAACTGGGACAATTCTTTTGTTTTATATAGTTTTCATTCATAATTTCTTAAAATATAGCTCTGGAAAACCAAGTTTTGATAAAGCCCATTAGAATTCAAATGAAGCTACTTGATTATGTCTTTTAACTCAAATTACTCTGCTCTCACAGATTGACCAATAAGTTCAAGCCTAAGCCTCATTTGCTCACAGTTTGGGTTTTGATGGCTCAGAGTGAGTGTAAATAGCAATTGTTTCTGTTCTGCCAGAAGCTCTGAGGATCTTCTCCCAGACTGATTCTTTTGTGAAAGGCTAACTAGGCAATCTTTTGCCTCAATTCTTACCTAGTCTTAAATTACACTTCAAACTGAGACCTGGGAAAGACCTTAGCTTAAAAAGACCAAGGTCTCCTATTACATCCAGGGCTCTCACCAGTCATCCTGTCCTATGTCTTGCAACTTGACCAGATGACTCTGGAGGAGAGAATGAGGCTGATGACTTTGCACAGCTCTGCCTCACTTAAAACCAATTCACTTGCAAGTCAAATGCTACCTCCTGATGTCATTGGTATTCTTTGAGAACAAAGGTGAACCATAACAAAGCAGAAGCCCATACTTCAGCCAGTCAAACAGATCCCTGTCACATAAATTTTTCTAACTTATACCAAATATTCTTGACATGAATCAACCATATATCACCATGGGTATAGAAAAGAAAAATAAGTCTTTTTAATGCCCTGTACCAAGTTTCCCCAGTCAACTTTTAATAGAGAAAATACTTACAAACTTTTGTTACCAATTTCACAATTTTTCAAGAAGTTTACTAAAACAAGCAAAATATTTCATCTAAGCAGAAACACAAGACAATCACTGACAGGGAAAAAGAATTTGGGATAAACAGTCGAATTAACCCATTTGCAGCAAAATAGGTGGAAGACTCCCATATTCAGATTTAAAGTTTCCTTCCAGTGTGTTTACTAATGCTTTAAAAAGTTTAAGTTCTAACTGAAGGTGCCTCATAATCATAATATTAATGAAGTTTCTCTTCATTGTGAATTTCCTGATGCTCAATAAATTTCAATAAATTTGCGACTAAAGGCTTTCCCACACTCATTACATTTACAGGATTTCTCTCCAGTGTGGACTATCTGATGTTGAACAAGATTGGAGTTTTAACTAAAGGTTTTCCCACAATAATTACATTCATAATATTTCTCTCCAATGTGAATTCTCTGGTGTTGAATAAAACAAGAACTCTAAATATAGGCTTTCCAACAGTAATTACATTCAAAGGGTCTCTCTCCAGTATGAATACTTTGATGGAGAATAAGTTGTGAGCTCCAACTGAAGGCTTTCCCACATTCATTACACTGATAGGGCCTGTCTTCACTATGAATTCTCTGATGTAAAAATAAGTTCTGTGTTCAAACTAAAGCCTTTTCCATACTCATTGCACTCATATGGTTTTTCTCCAGTGTGAGTTCTCTGATGTTAAATAAGGTGTAAGTTCCAACTGAAGGCTTTCCCACATTCATTACATTCATATGCTTTTTCTCCAGTGTGAATTATCTGATGTTTTATAAGACTTGAGCTCTGAGTGAAGGCTTTCCCACGTCCATGACATTCATTGGGTTTTTCCTCAGTATGAATTCTCTGATGGGGAGTAAGATTTGTGCTCTTACTAAATGCTTTACCATACACATTACATGCATGAGGTTTCTTTCCAGTGTGAATTCTCTGGGACTGAATAAGATGTGCATCATGACTAACCACTTTCCCACATTCATCACACTCATAAGGTTTCTCACCAGTGTCTCTGGTGCTTAATAAGGTTTGAGCTCCTACCAAAGATTTTGCCACATTCATTACATGCATACGGTTACTCTCCAGTATGACCTCTTTGATGCAGAACAAAGTCTGAATTATATTTAAAGTTCTTGCCATGTTTCACATTTATGGGCTTCCTTATCTATCAGACCTCTTGGATTTGTAACCAGGTTTGCATTCACACTTGAGCTTCTTCTCAATTTAACATGTTACTTACCTTTGTCTGGTATAGGAGTTTCCATGTGAGATGAAGTCACTTCCCTAAAATGTCTTACTAGAGTTAAGGATTTCTTCAACATCTCCTACAAAAACTTTTCCTGATAACTCCTGCAATTTCTTATAGGTTCCAAAAAAATCTATAAACTTTGGTCCAAATGTTAATCCCTGTAATTCTATTTCTTCAAAAATGTCTTGATATAGAGTTGGTGGCTTGCTATCCTTTGCTATCTTGGAATCTGAAACAATAAAATCAACTAATTTGAGCACTTGAAATTTATAAACCACCTTCCTCCTTTCCTCATAACAATTCTTTGACGTAGGTAGTACAAATATTATTATACTCATTTTACATATGAGGAAACTGAGGCTTAGGAAAGTTAAGTGAGTTGCCCAAGGCCATAAAGCCTATGAGTTGAGGAACTGGAATTTGATTTCAGGGTTATTTTTGCAAACTCCAAGTTCAGTATTCTTTTTGCCACATGATTCTGCCTCTCCGAAAGTCCAATTTCTATTTATTTATTTACTTTAGTGAAATTTTTATTTTTATTATTTTTGAAAGCATCAATAAAACGTGTGTGTATTTGTTTCAAACCCTACTATATTACTTTCTTTTTTTTAAGTTAAGCACTTTTTATTTTTAGGCATTCCTGGAAATTGTGCCAAAATGAAGACTGTGATAAAATAGATCTTATGTTCTCTTAGCAGCAGTGTTATATTCTTTTTAAAAATATATATATCTATATTTATTTACTTATTTTTAGTTTTCAATATTTACTTCCACAAGATTTTGAGTTCCAAATTTTCACCCCATCTCACCCTCCCCCCACCCCAAGATGGCAGGCATTCTGAATATCACTTCCCCTAGTCTGTCCTCTCTTCTATCTTTCTCCCCTTTCTCTTATCCCCTTCCCCTTCTATTTTCCTGTAGGGCAGGACAGACTTCTGTACCCCATTTCCTGTATTTTTTATTTCCCAGTAGCATGTGAAAACATTTTTTTTAAACATATGTTTTTAAAACTTTAGGTTTCAAATTTTCTGTCTTCTTCCCTCCCCACCCACTCTCACTGAAAAGGCAAGCAACTCAATATAAGTCGTACATCTGCAGTTATGCAAAACATGTCCATAGTAGACATGTTGCGAAAAACTAACTCTATTTCCCTTAATCCTATCCTGCCTTCCCATTTATTCTATTCTGCCTTCCCATTTATTCTATTCTTTCTTTTGACCCCATCCCTCCTCAGAAGTATTTGCTTCTGATTACCCCCTTTCCCAATCTGACCTCCTCTCTATCATCCCCCTGCTCTCTTGTCCCCTTCTCCCCCTATTTTCCTGTAGGGTAAGACAGATTTCCATACCCAATTGAATGTGTATGTTATTCCCTCCATAAGCCAAATCCTATGAGAATAAGATTCCCTTTCACCTTCCCCCGTTTCCCCTCCACTGTAAGAGACTTTTCTGTTTTTTTTTTGAGCTAATTTACCCCATTCTACCTCTCCCTTTTTTCTTCTCTGAGTATAATCCCCTCTCATCCCTTAATTTTATTCTCCAGATATGGCCCTTAATCTTCAACTCACCCTGTGCCCTCTATCTATCTATCCATCTATCTATCTATCTATCTATCTATCTATCTATCTATACATACATACATACATACATATAATTTCCTCCAACTTCCCTAATACTGACAAAGGTCTCATGAGTTATAAATATTATCTTTCCATGCAGGAATGTAAACAGTTCAACCTTAATAAGTCTCTTATGATTTCTCTTTATTGTTCACCTCTTCATGTTCCACTTGAGCCTTGTATTTGAAACTCAAATTTTATATTCAGCTCTGGTCTTTTCATCAAGAATGCTTGAAACTCCTCTATTTCACTGAATGACCATTTTTCCCCCTGAAGGATTATACTCAGTTTTGCTGAGTAGGTGATTCTTGGTTGTAATCCTATCTCCTTTGCCCTCTGGAATATTATATTCCATGCCCTGCGGCCCTTTAATGTAGAAGCTGCTAAATCTTGCTTTATCCTGATTGTGTTTCTACAGTACTTGAATTGCTTCTTTCTGGCAGCTTGTAATATTTTCTCCTTGACTTGGGAACTCTGGAATTTGGCTATAATATTCCTAGGAGTTTTCCTTTGGGGATCTCTTTCAGGAGGAGATCAGTGGATTCTTTCAATTTCTATTTTGCCCTCTGGTTCTACTATATCAGGATAGGTTTTCTTGATAATTTCTTGAAAGATGATGTCTAGGCTCTTTTTTTGATCATGGCTTTCAGATAGTCCAATAATTTTTAAATTCTTTCTCCTGGATCTATTTTCCAGGTCAGTTGTTTTTTCAATGAAATATTTCACATTGTCTTCTAATTTTTCATTCTTTTGGATTTATTTTACAGTGTCTTGATTTCTCATAAAGTCACTAGCTTCTAATTGCTCTATTCTAATTTTTAAGGAAGTATTTTCTTCAGTCATCTTTTGGACTTCCTTTTCTATTTGGCCAATTTTGCTTTTTAGGGCATTCTTCTCCTCATTGGCTTTTTGGACCTCTTTTGCCATTTGGGTTGGGCTATTTTTTAAGGTGTTATTTTCTTCAGTATTTTTTTGGGTCTCCTTTAGCAAGCTGTTGACTTGTTTTTCATGATTTTCTTGCATCACTCTCATTTGTCTTCCCAGTTTTTCCTCTGCTTCTTTTACGTGCTTCTCAAAATCCCTTTTGAGCTCTTCCAAGGCCTGGACCTGATTCATATTTTTCTTGGAGGCTTTGGATGTAGGAGCTCTGACTTTGTTGTCTTCTTCTGGTTGTATATTTTGATCTTCTTTATCACCAAAGTAAGATAATGTAGTCTGACTCTTTGTGCTGCTTGTTCATGATCCTGGCCAATTACTTGAGTTTTAAACTCTTTGTTAAGGCAAGAGTCTGCAGGGACCTATAAATTTTCAGTTCTTCCAACGTGGTATGATAACGGGTAAGGTGTTTACTCCTTTCCTGGCCTGTGCTCTGGTCTGTTAGTGACCACAAGTACTCCTTTCTGTCCTGTAACTGTGAGGAGGGTTCACTCTCCACAGCCACTGCAAGCTGCACTGTGCCAGCGCTCCTCCTCACCCCAGGACCACCACCTAGAACCGTGACCCAGATCCAAGCATGGGTAAAGAAATAGATTCCTCCCTCAGCACTGGCAAAGAGACTCCTGCAATCCCTCTCTGATCAGCCACTGGATTCCCCCTCAGTCTGTGGGCCAGAAGCTCAGGAGGCAGCTGCCCCCCCAGGGCCACACTCTTCGGGACCTGGAGCTGAGACCCCGAGTTCCTCTCTTAGCACCGCAGAAATAGACTTTTCCCACTGACCTTCTAAGTTTTCTTTGGCATTTGTGGATTGAGGAGTCTGGAAACCGCCACAGCTGCCCGTGATTCAGTCCTCTGAGGCCTGCTCCAGGTTCCCTGTGGCCCGCGGCGCCCATGACAAACTGAGCTTCTTTCCCAGCCCAGCGTGATATACCTTTCTAGTCAATCATCCACATTGTCTTGGCCTGGAAATTTGTTTCACTCTACCTTTTTGTGGGTTCTGCTGCTTTAGAATTTATTTAGAGCCATTTTTATGGGTATTTGGAGGGGTTTGGGGGAGAGCTGAAGCAAGTCACTGCTTTTACTCTGCCATCTTGGCTCTGCCCCCTCCAATTTTTATTTTACTACAAAGGATGAAAACTCCTGCTGTAGAAAAAAGGATCACCATGAAATCATGGAAGGCACAATGAGCAAATGTTCAGGACATCTGAGTTCTAAACCCACCTCTGCCACCATCTCAGGGGATCATAGATTTAGATTTGGAAGGAATGCCATCAGGGCAGCTAGTGGGTGCAGTGGAGTGTATTAGGCCTGGAGTGAGGAAGACCTATGTTCAAATAGATCCTCAGATACCTCCTCATCATGTGACCCAGGGAAAGTTACTTATCCTCTGTTTGCCTCAGTTTCCTCATCTATAAAGTAGGGATAATAATAGCAGCTATTTCCCAGGATTGTTGTGAAGATCTAATGAGACGATATTTGTAAAGCACTTAGACAGGTGGCATGGTGGATAGAGTGCTAGGCCTGGAGTCAGGAAGACTTCCTGAGCTCAAATCTGGTCTCACTTATTAGCTGTGGGACCCTTGGCAAGTCGCTTAACCCTCTTTGCCTCAGTTTCCTTATCTATAAAAAGAGTTGGAAAAGGAAAGGGCAAACCACTTCAATGTCTTTGCCAAGAAAACCTTACACGGGGTCACAGCGTCAGACGTGAGTAAAAATGACTGAACAAAAAATTGTTATTATTATTTTACAAATGAGGAAATTGAAGCTAAGAGGTTAAATGGCTTGCCTAAGGCTGTACACATAGTAAAGTACAGAGCTGAGATTTGAATCCAGGGCCTCTGATCCTAAATTCAGTGCTCTTTCCACTGTACTAGATTGTTTGGAGTATAGCACATCAACTCTCAGGACCTCAAGTTTTCCCATGAAGATACTGAACTAGGTGACTTTTAAGCTTTTTTCCAACTCAGAGAATCTGTGATTCTGTAATATCTAGGGAGATTCCTCATGTTTTGTAGCTCTCAACATTTGGGCAAGGGTAAGAAAGGGAGGTAAGCAGAGGCATGAAGAGCTACATAAAATTGTAGAACCGTTAGCTAAAATGCATAATCTCTCAGTATAAATGGCCCTCAACCTAGAAAATGGTCAAGTTACCAACATGACCCTCATCCATAAGAAGAGTTCTAAAATGGTCCTAGTTTATCAAAGCAAACACCTACCTTTTCCAAAGTCTCTTCCAATGACTCCCAATAAAGACAAACATACCTTCCTTTATAAAGGCTCTCAGGCTTTTAAAAAAATAAGCATTCCCTATACTTAGGTTATTAAAAAAAAAAAAAG